TTTTTTGCTTGACGTAAAAAATATCATTTGGCGCTTTGGCTACTTTTTCGGCTACATATTATTTATAATTATATTAATTGAATAAAAATGCACTTTAAAATGGTGTTTCATCGCTTTTTATTAATTAGAGACCCAAATAAAACAAATATTTGTGTTTTTCAAATAAATTTTCTTTAGTCTCTTTTATAATAAATGAATTTATCTATTTCTAAGTAAAAATTGAAAGTGTCTGTAGAAGTAATTTTTTAAAATATCCTTTTTTCTGGATAAAGTTTTAATACTTATTATTATAATCTAGACATGTTAATTTTTAAATATACTTGTATATTGGGCCACAAGTATATATTATATATACTTGTGGCCCAAAACTCCTTGACTTCTTCCAATGTGGCCCAGAAAAACGAAAATGTTGGACACCCCTGATATAGATGATGTTGCGCTTTCCCTGGCAAAGTATACTGGGATAAATAAGAAAATTCGAGCTTTTTTAAGCACATCACTCTCGAAACGGCTGTACCACACTCGCATCGAATCTAAAATAAGATACGGTATCGCTGTACGGGGGAACCGCATCTCTATACGCTGTTAACAAACTTCGGATGGCAGAAAATCGTTACACGCGTTCAATTTATAATTTAAACTTTATGTAATCGGTATCCGAACTCTACCGCACGAAAATATTGACAAGATTAGTGAAATTTACAAGAAACAGATTCTATTGGAGAGCTTCAAATATATAAAGGGCAAAAAGGAAAACGGCTTTCTCGGAATTGGTATTAGTGAATGTCGCAAATCAACACGAGAAACTCGTATAATTCGTGAATATAGTCTTCCAATTGTTAAACTGGAGGTGGGGAGATCTGCACCGATCTTNTTCTATTGGAGAGCTTCAAATATATAAAGGGCAAAAAGGAAAACGGCTTTCTCGGAATTGGTATTAGTGAATGTCGCAAATCAACACGAGAAACTCGTATAATTCGTGAATATAGTCTTCCAATTGTTAAACTGGAGGTGGGGAGATCTGCACCGATCTTTCAATTAATCTTCTATTGGAATAGTCTGTACAACGATCTACGTAATATATCGAGTTACGAATTCTTCAGAAAAAATGTAAAAAAAAACGAAAAAAAAACTTAAGACTCAACGATATTTGTTGTTAATTAATTTTCTTTCTCAGCTCGCGTCCTGTTTTTGTTTGTTTGTTTGTTTTGATTTACTGTTAAGATGCTTGTAAAAGGCCAACCAGTGCCTTTTGAGAAAATAAATAAATAAAATCTAAAATACAGTGGGTGATCGGATAACGAACACTTTCGTGAAAGATTTTTATGTTCGGACAACGAACATCCCACAGAACAAACACAAGAAGAAGCGACTTAAAATAATGAATATCGATTGGTCTTCCCTCGTCTTCGGGCAACAATTCGAAACTTTTTGGAGCGCGGGAGACGTCGACATCGACGCTCAACCGATCGGATACTATTCCTCCGAACTTTAAAACTCTCCCTCGTAATTCCAGCCTTTTATTTTTCCGACAGAAACAATTTTTTTACGTATTCGCGAGGCTGTCGGGTAGGCACCCGTTAAATTTTGCGTCTGTTTTTGTTTTCGAAAGGTAAGAGTATAATAGCAAAGGTAGAGAGCGGGCGGAAGATGCCTAACGTTGCTGGGCAGTATGGCGTGAACGGGTCTACAGAAGGCCGCAGTTCGATCTTATTTAAGAAAAATACTGTATAATCGAGAAGACTCAAGCAGCTAAAGGAGTAACAAAAATCATATCTGAGAAATAAAGAACATCGAAGAGGTCATAATGGAACCCGAAACGGATCTGACGACAGAAGAACGCCAAGAAACTCGGCGAGATATGTTTCCTTCTGAAAAATAGGATTAATGCCGATATCTGTTGTTAAAGATCCTTCGAAGAAGTGAGAGGATGTCGGAACAATGGTCTTAGAATGACATCCAAACCAGGTTGAGGCTTGGGGATTTCTACAATTGCAATGCTGTTAATTACGTACGAAAAATCCTGAAGAAGAGAGAAAAGCAATCGACATTAGACAGATTCTTTAACGCTTTCAAACGGAAAAAAACATGATTAATAAAAACGCAAGACTGTGCATGTATGTATTTTTATTATTACGTATAAATAAACGTAGTAAGAAAGTATATATTTTTTTATTTTGGGGGGTCATCCAGAACGAATTGATTAAATTCCCATTAAAACCTATGGTAAATCGATAATCGGTTAACGAACAAAGTCTTGGAACGGATTATGTTGGTTAACCGATCACCCACTGTATTGTTGAAATACAAATATAAATACCACTCCGCGTACAATGTGCAGTAATCTATACTAATATTATAAAGAGGTAATGTTTGTATGTATGTATGTATGTTAGTTTGTATGCAGCAGGTAATCTCCGAAACTACTCATCCGATTTCAAAAATTTTTTCACCAATATTTAGAATGGAACTTCAGGGTGGACATAGGCTGTATATTATTCCGTTAAACATGGGGGATAGACAGTTCTTTACGGTAAGCCTTACGGGGAAGGCTTACCGTAAAGAACTCTGCTTCTATTTATACTATTTTAGATGCGGGTTTTTGCGCTTTTGATTGCGTTTTAATAGGGTACGTCAAGAGAATGTATTCTAGGAAAAGATTTTTCGAAAAATTTTCCCCCACGGGGGAAGTGTTATACATTTATAATTGATACATTTTGATCCACAACAAGGCGTGGCGGGGTCTGCTAGTATTTAATATATGCATTCATATTATGCCATGCATTCGAACACATATACAGACAACCCCCATAACACGGTAGATACGCTCCTGTTTTTATGAATCTATTTTTTACGATTCCAGCCAATCATAGTCTGGCACGTATGCAGTTTACGGACTACGGCTGTTTGAAAGGTTCCTTTCATAAAATTAATCGATTCTAGACTAATTCGACTCAACATTTCTAAAATACGTATAATTTTTTAGGTATAATCCGTATAAACTATGCTATGAACAAAAAATTGTAGGATTAGTTACCGAGTGTGCACCGTTCGACTACGTCGTTGCTTAAGCTTGTTTTCGTCGCAGAGATTGCCGTCGAATGGCGCTCGCGTGCTTCCTGATAAATTATTTTTTTCGAGAAAAATTCGCTGAACTTTAGAGACATCATTAATCTATATCTATATAAATGGACGTGTGTGATATTTCACTTTTCAGCCGAAACTACACATCGCACATGAGTGGGGTTTGTATGAGGTAGTAGCCCCAAGTCTCCATTCGTGGACTATGGTGGTTTCGTCTCGATACCTCTAAGGGTGGGAGATATGGGGTTTAAAGTGGTTGAAAGAGGAAGATTTTCTATTTCGATTATAGGAATTTTCAAATTCGAATTTAAATTCGAATTGGTTCGATTCTAGGACGATTGTAAACGTTCTAGAAAATTGATCAAATTGAAAATAGTTCGTTTGACTGGACGTAAAAATTCTGTAATTAGTCTGGAAACGGGGGGACCTAATTCTTGCATTCTGTGAAAATGGGTAAGATTGGCTATAATTTAATTAACTTAATTTTCACTATCGTTACTTTTTGCTCAGCGAAGCGGGTCCTTGCAGCTAGTAACGTATATAGTAAAACAAAATGAATTACGGGAGAGATAAAATACAAATAAAGTATATAATATGTAACAAACACGTATTTGCGTAAAATTATTCGCAATAATTGTAGTCGAGGAATGATAATGGTGACAAAGAAAGCCACGAAAATGGATTCCCCGGAGTCAAACGACCAGGCGGATGCCCCAGGAATGCTCGGTGTAGAACCTTCAAGATTCGAAGACGCTCAATATGACGCGGGAGAAAGCCGTAGCCCTCGCCCAGGATCGAAATCGATGGGTGAAAATTGCTACCCGGTATGCTACGTAGCATCGGAGGAGCTGATTCTACTATTACTACTACTGTTATATTATAAAATTATGCTTTTTGCCGTTCTAGTTCTATGTGCAAATGCTAAAAATATTCGTTAAATCCGATCCCAGTCGAGATAGGACACACCACTCCCTTTATCTCCCCACTCCCTCGACCATCAACCACCAAAATTTATTAGCGTCGATTCTTGGAAAATTAGTAAAATTTTCCAAAAGCGCAGAAGTTAGTCAGCTTCGGAGAGGGTGAAGGAAATCGTGCCCCCCGCACAGAAACATCTAAATCAATCAGAAAAGAAACCCGAAAGTTTTTGCATTTCGTTGTCCCGAATACAAAAATCTTGGTGTGTCACGATTTTCATATTTTTGCCAAATTTTCCTTGGGTTGTATATAATCGAGGAAAAGTAATGAGCTACCAAATAATTTTGAAATAGCCTGTTTTATTTTACATTCATCAGTCTTACACTTTTTAGTAGTGAAATTACAGTAACAAAAACTGAAATAAGTTATTTGTCGCGAATCAAAATTGGTCCCAACCGCTCTTAATACAAATGTACTCGACGTTGCAAAATTTACAAGACGCCTCGAAATTTATAACATAACTGGAGTCATTATTGATAATATATAATAAAATGTTTACCATACCAGGTAAACATTTTGTTGACGGAAGAATATGTGGGGTGGCCACGGGTAAAAAGCAATAGATTTACCGTGACAAGTTTGGAAAACTCCCAACATTTGGCATTCCTACTCGGCGGCATTTGTGCAAATGTCGGGCAATTTTCCCGTGTTAGGCCGAGAACGCATAATTTTGTGGAAACGCGTAACCGAGAAGAAATTCTCTCCCATTTTCCAATATTTTGGCTACAGGTTAGAAAAGGCGTCTCCGAATAATTTCCGGTAATTAAGAGTTTGCGCGGCGTTAAATCCCGCGCGTAGCATCTGGTTTATCGTTGTCGCGTGCGATAGTTCGATCCTTTAATCCCCACGAAAGGCCGAATTTTTAAGCCAGCGAAACCGGGACGACGGAACATAGAAACACGTGGTCGGAAAAGTTTTAATGAGGAAAAAAGTCACTTAACGATTACAAATACCAGACCGGTGTCATTTCGTCTGGGTCCAGAAATGCAAATTAAGAAGAAGAGGAAAATGCAGTCGAATTTCGGTCCGAAAATAATCCAGTAGTTCATAGAAGTCTTTCAAGGCTCTTCGCCGCGAGGTGTATTTGATTTTCCTCAAGATCCCACCGGCCAGATTCTCCAGACTGTCTTCCGGCTTCAACTTGGCAACCACCTTCTGCACCGGGATGTTCAGGAAGATCGACACGTTCCAGGTAAACAAGTCTCGCAGTTTGTCGAAGGAACAATCTCGCAAGTTGGCGGCCAGCTGCGCACCTGTAAAAAAAATCACCGGCGTTTAAAACTGCGGCAGAGAAGAAGATCCGACGACTCGTCCTACACTTACAGGGATCGAGGAGAAGAAAACACTCCAAGAAGGTATTCGGACAATCTCCACCCAGATCCAGCTCTTTCAGCCGGCGCCCGACGGACAGCGCCCTCTTTCTCAGCGACATCAGAGGCGGGTAATCGGAGTGGTCGACGGATTCCCAGAAGGATGGGAATACCAGACGAGCCAAATTGAATTGGACGAAATTGGCGCTCAGAATCAAACTCTGTAGGAGAATTTTCCAGTTAGGAAACGGCCCGAGCCGACTTCCGGCGCGGCCAAACTCCACTTACCGAATCGAACTTGGTGAAGCGATCGACCAGGATTTCTTCGGCCATTCGGAAGTTCTTCAGGGTCTCTCGGTTCGCAGTTCGGCAGAATTCCCACACAGTTTCCGTTAGGGCCACGTCGGAACCGGGTCCCTGCCGGAAAATGGGAATAAATCCGTTATCGGACGTGTTACGCGGACAGAGCGCAGTCGTTACTCACCAGCCGCGGATGATCGTCTAGGAAGTCGGGACGAGTGGACACTGTCGATACAAAAGGAATGTACGTTACCAGTCGCGTAGGCTCGCGTCTACGCGCTACTTACGCCATTCGTTCATTCCAGTTTCGAAATCCTCCAGATAAGCCAGGGCGCCGTTTCGCCTGATCACTCTCATCCACTCGGCCTGGCCGCGCGCCCACTTCAGGCTGTCGACCACAGTCTTCAGATCGGCCGCGGACAGGTCGGCGTCGGACAGACACGACCAATAAGAACGCACCAAGAAGCGGCCGACTTCTTTCGCCGCCAATCTTCTCAAAACGAACTCCGAAGAGTAAGTCATCGTCCAGTCTTCTTCTTCCGTCGGCTTCAGCTGGTCCGCGCCTAGAGTGGAAATTTCCGGTCGGAATTAATCGTCGCCTTCCGGTTTCGGACGGCCACCGTAAATCCGAGCGCGCGCGCTTACCCGTATGAAGGGCGGCCATCAACTTGACGAAGTAAAGATGCCGAGGGTTTAGACGTATGTTTTCGAAGGTCGCTCCGACGTTAAACATGTTGGACAAGATGACGCGCACGGGTTCGGATGTGCAGGTAGACGGCTGGATGTACTGTTCTTCTCCCCTAACCACGTTGTGGACGTTGACGTTGAGGGCGGCCATCCAGATCAAGGCGGCCGGCAATCCGTTGACGGACAGCAAGGTCGTCTGGAAAGAAAAGAGGAGCGGGTCGACGGAGGGTCCGACCCAGGCGGGCGAAAGAGATAGACCTACTCTGTCCGAAGCCGGAAAGAGGAAGACGTCTCTCTGCTCGGATATCCAGGTCAGGACGTCGCGGACGCTGCGCTGGAAAATTTCCACGAATTGCTGGTCTCCTCGACCGGTTCGTTCCACCACCTGCCGAAAAAAAAACATTTAAACAACGAATAGAAAAGACGGAACTCCCGGACGAAACGGAACCCACACTCATCCTTCCTTCGGGTCCGGGAGTAGGCAGAAACGTAGAGTCGAAGTTGATTCTGCAAAAGTCTGCCGGAGGGAAAACAAAACGGAGGAGTGAATGGAAGAAAAGAAGAGGAGGAGCGAGAGGAAAGTTCGGTCTCACCCGGAACTACGAAGTTAGCCGAGGCGTACTTGTAGACTTCTTCCGCCAGACAAAATTCACACTCGGTGGGTCCGTGAGGGCGGTTGCAAACCAGGCCCTCTCCGTCGACGACTATCTTCCGGAAACGTTCTCGGCACTCGGCGCAGATATAAATTCCCAAGACGTAAGTACAGGAAGCGCGGCACAGGTAGCAACTTCCGGTAGAGTTCCACAACAACGGAAAGTACGTAGTCAAAGGGCCGAATCCGGCCACCCCCGCCGGGCCTGTAATTCGGAGGATGCGTTAAGGAGACAGGGTTGTGGGAGGGATCAATTTTAACTCTTACTTGATCTTCGACGTCCCCGTTCTGCAAACAAATTCCAACCGCAGCACTCGCCTTCTTCTCGGATAGACGAACTCATCTTTCCGCCGTCCGTATCCGCCGCCCCCTTTTATCCCGTCGTCGTCCCCTGGCGGCGGAATCCGTCGCCGCCTCTTTTTCCACTTCCGTCGGACGGAACCCGACGGGTCGGAAACGTTTCGGTCTCCGACCGACGCATAAAAACCGCGGCCAGGAGTGGCCCACCGGATGGACAAAGCCGGTTGTGGTCGGTAAAGCGTTAGGCGGTCGTCACTTCCGGTGCGGGATGCGTCGACCGGGTCCGCCGGGGAAGCGTGAAGAAAATATGGGAAAAAGAGCTTTTAATCTTATTCCGACGTTTTTTCGTCGGTCTTCGGTGTCCGTCTTAACTCAGTAGAAAAAGCGTTTTTATGCAAATTTCCGGTCGAAGATCGGGAACGGCGTTGAACGTCCGTTGCAAAGAAGCCTCCTTCCGGCGCTTTTCTTCTTTAAGGAAAGAAAGATCGGCAGGAAGTCCATCGATGCAAAGAGGAAGCGGACCGACACTCGCTTCCGGCGTAAAGGGCCGGAAGAAAAAGAAAATAATGAAGACGGCAGTTCCGCACTAAACGTAACGTAATGAAGTTTCCTCCTGTCCGCGGCGAAGACGGAGGAGTGAGTGCCTTTCTTCCCAATTAATGCGTAAATGTTTGAGAAGGAATAACACCGACCGACGTACCTGTATGGAAGAAGGAAGTAACTGCCGCAAACTGTGGTAGGACGACGACGGATTAACGGGAACGAGTTGTTCCGCCCTCCCGAGAACCGAATTTCGTCGGGTATGTACTTTGAAACTTATTTCGTTCACCCGTAATCGATACGGCGTCGGAAGGCAAATTCCTTTCGCCTTCCAAACGTTTAAGTAAAAAGAGAGAAAATTTGTATGCCGTTCTGTTTATTGGCAGTTATCGTGGTAGATGCTTTAACACCCTTTCCGGCCCAGGCGCAAATTTACTCATTTCTTAGAAAACCAACATTTACCCAACCGTCTTTTATCCGCCCAAGTGGAATTAAAGGTTTTCGGCCACTGTTTAATGCTTAGGGACGATCGTCGGTCTTCGTATTGACCCCTTTTTTTGTACTCCGACAAATTATTAACGCCGTCTCCCTTAGAGGAAACGAAAATTTATATAAATGTATACAAATGTCAAATATTCACCATTAAAATAAAACTTTAAAGTTCGTTTTATTCATTTGACGTAGATGTTATTTTAAAAAATTTTATTAGTTAATTTTCCAAGCCAATGCGTGTAGCGGGAATGCCCGATGGTTAGACATTGGCACCCGTAAGTTCACGTAAAGATTTACGTACGATAAAAGTCACATTAATAGTTATTTGGTGTTTGTCGTCTTAGATTTTCGCTTTATAATGCCTCTAGTTTGTGACGGTAGCTGTTTGACTTTGTAAATATTTTTTTATATTTTACTCAATTTTCGCCATTTAATGTTGTTTGAAATAATATCCAAAGGCATCGGCTGTCCAGCTACGTTGCTCTTCGTCGCCATATTGATTTCCCACGCTTTTTGTTGGGCGAACGGCAGATTATAAATCAAACACAAGTGGGAAGCTAAACGCATGAAGTTTATACAAATAATTATTAACACTAACAATTTAAAATGAAGACGTACTTTTTTCAGTCGAAATTTGCAAAGTTTTCTAAGAGACCACTTCAAAAACATCACACGAACGAAAGAGAAGCTCTACTTCTGAGGACGACCACTTCGTCACTATAGACCAGACGTCGCAAACTTTTTCCACAGCGGGCCAGATAACTGAGAATGACGAGCGCGGGGGGCCATATAACCATTTTGTTCAATACAGCACATCGAATACACAAAAAGTAAACACAACCGACATACCAGTGGCGTGCCGTCATTGGAAGCGATGGAAGCGCCGTTTTCCTTGTATTTTCTAAACAATAAATACATACAGTAAACCCCCTATAAGGCGGGTTCATATAATGCAGATTCCTATAACGCGGCGAAAAAATTGCCACAGTATTCGTATAAAGACACTAAAAGGGACGCGTGAAACGCGGTAAAACGTCATCGCCGACTCGTGTCGCGACAGGATTGGTTGAATCTGGACTAATAGTAGACGAGCAGCCGAACTACAGACAGTTTAGGCGGGCAAGTCGAGTTTACTATCGTCTGTACAGTATGTAAATTAAGTACCGTAAGTCTAATACAGTACTGTAATTTTATACATTTCTTGTGAATAAAACATTTTTTATTCAACGGCCATAAAAATTATTTATATCAATGATGTCTCGAAAGTTCAACGAATTTTTCGCAGAAAAATAACTCATTAGAAAACGCGCCCGCCGTTTGGTGCGCCACTCCGCGACGAAAACAAGCTTGAGCAATGGCGACGTCGAACGGTGCACACTCGGTAAGTAATCTTAAAATTTTTTGTTTGTAGCATAGTTTATGCGGATTATTCCCAAAAAATTATACGTGTTTTGGAAATGTTGAGTGAAATTAGTCTAGTATCGATTAATTTTATGGAAGAAAACCTTTCAAACAGCCGTAGTCGGTAAACTGCACAAGTGTCGGGCTGTGATTGGCTCACGTATTTAAGGATTCCTACAACGCGAAATTCTTATAAAGTGGAACGTATCTACCGCGTTGTAGGGATCGACTGTATTAATTTTAATTACATGAAAATAATCGCACAATATTTTATTATAACCGCATTATGTATCTTATTACAAATTTCTATACTACACGTGAAAAAAAATAAGATCGCTATCGTATATTGGAATACAGTAGAGCGTCCGTTATCCGAAAGAATTCCAGTCGGCAAATTTAAATTTTCGCTAGTGTTGTGGCGCTGCAATCTTTGGCTATGTCTTGGGCTACTGAAATATTTTACGTTTTTGATACTAAATTAACTTCTGAAGTATATTTTTTTATAGTTCTTATATTTTTCAATATATTTATTATGTTTGTATAAAATAAAAAAAAATAATTTTTAACGATATAATAGTCTTCGTTAGGCTTAACAACGACGAAAATTCAACGCGAAGCGACACGCAACGGAGAAAAATTTCAACACGGGATAGGTTAATATATTTTTCGTACATAATCGGTTATCCGAAAATAAGTTATCCGAACGATCCAGTTTTCAATTGATTTGGATAAACGATTCTCTACTGTATTAGTGGCGGAGTGGAAGCGTTGTATCTTCGGCCTCCAAAAGGCTAGATTCGCGCACGCGCTTTACACAGCACCAACCTCATCCGGTTTAGCCGGTGGAAGCTTAGGACCTGGGGTGGACCTACGCGTATGCCGCATCCAATTCCATCCGGGCCGTTAGCCGCCCGCTGGCTAGATATTTGGCCGCCCTCGCCCGATTACGCGAATCGCGACGAGATTTATAACTTAACCCAACCGATAAGAATTTACCGGTACGTTTTTACCATAGTTGCGTATAGTTGACGGGAGTTAAAAAATCCATTAAAATATTTGATATTTTTATTCCGCTCTCCGATTTTATATTACTGACAGATTTCGATGTTAAACCAATTTTGTATATCCCATCTTTAAGGGGATGTAGAAAAAAACGTGTACAATTCTTGTACAATGTTAAAAAATTAACCGTTACTTTGGCAGCGTCATTTACGACTAAATTGAATGAACGAGAGAGATGCACCAGCGTAAAATCGAAAGAATTTTACATAGGTTATTGCAGGTTTTTCTAATCCATTTATCTTTCTCTGTGGGTCGAGGGATGCCGCCGCCCGTTACCACTACGTATTTTAAGTCGTTCTAAATATTAGTTGTATAGGGTTTTAAAAAGTAACCCGAAAGACCGTTGGACACCGTGGGCCACGGTTTAAGCTTCTCCGTTTAGCGGCACGGCGGTTTCCGTAGAAAAGAGTTTATAGTTAGGTAAAGTCGGTAAACGGGTGATGAAGATAACGGAAGAAGCGCCGGCGGTTACTTTTATTTCTCCCCACTTGGAATAGCCGGAATTTACCAGTTGGTTGCGGCGATTTTAAGTAACGGTAAAGAAATCGGTCCGGCCATCGTCCGATTGACGGGAAAATCGAAAACCAAATGGGCGGATCTACATAGGGACTAATAGGGCTTATGCCTCGGGCACCCACAAAAATGAAATTACTATCATAAACTTTTAATACTTTTTCGTTAACAATGAGCACTAATGGTATTGTAAAAAATAGCTAATACAGTAGTCTATAATACTAAAAATTATCATCATTAATATTTGTTTTATTGTAATCGATGTAAATATTTCTTTATTTCTTATTTTTTTTTTAAATAAGATATGAAGTTTGTCATTCAACACCGTTTCATAAATATATTTCAACTCTGATTTTGATGTTATTAAAAACGAATCTTAAACCCCAATTTAAAGATTTTTAAAATGGGGCCCCGTTGGACTTCGACGAGCTCTAGGCCCCGAAAACCTAGATTCGCCCCCGGTGCCATCCTCGTCGGCTTAATATAACGCGTGGCTGAAAAAATAATTGGTGTGGGAGTGGGTACCCGCCAGGATGGGAACGTCGCCCGACGCGTCATTAAGCTTCGGCCGCGGAGTGGGCCCGCTAGTTTCGAATAAACGACGACTTCCGACACCTTTCTGTCCGCTCTAACCGAAGCCACGGTCGGGACGAGAGTGTGGAGGGGGAAGAAACCGGCCTTTACGGCCGAGCGCAGGTGGTGCGAATTCCGAGCGGGTGAGTGATCTCCCCGGCGCCGAATAAAAGAGACGGCCGGGATCGGGCCGTCGACTCGTTCCTCCGTACAATTCGAGGTAAGAATCTCCGTCCTTTCCCCTCCGTTCCCGCTCCAACGCCTTTTTCCGGCAACCGCGCTTTGGGAATCGGCCGGAGTCCCTTCTCTTCCGTCTTCCTTGGCCGGGAGGGATAGGGGGAGCCGGAAAAGAGCGGAGTCTAACCACTTTTTCTCGGCAGATGGTCTCCGTCGGTCGTCGTTGGATCTGGGCCCTTCTGGCCTCCTTGTTGCTACTCCACACCCTGGCAGGTAAGTACTCCTCTTCTCTTCCCGAAG